TAGAAAGGAATCTATGAACTTTCTTCACTGTTTTGGTTCCTTTACACTGTACAATCATTCTAGGTTCTGAGTACGTCAGTGGCCCCTTATTGCTCTTCATTTTTATTATTTTTGGTCTCCAAAAGCTCAACATTCGCTATGGTTTGTCACCGGCGCTGACAGTGTATGACCAAAGGGCACTGTGGAAACTTGACCTTGAAAACTATTGTCAGAATGGAAAGCCATCTGCTGGAGTTGCTCTGAAAAATGCGATGCTGTCCCAGAAAATAGCTTCTGCCGAGGCTTCTATCAAGTGCACCATCTGCTCTCTTTTCTCATCGGCTTGGTTGCCAGGGCTGGGAAAAAATCAAAAATATTGGGCAGACCCCAAAGTCTCCATTATTTTCGAGATGACGTACCCGAACTTGGTGCCAAAGCTGGCCATTGACAGGCGATCCAGCCTTACTGTACAGCCTTGCTTTCTTAACATCCTGCACTCAGGACCATGGGGGTTAGTCGCTAATGTTTGACCAGCAAGCATTCGTGATCTTCTTCGTTGGGTAACTTTGTTTTGGCTCGAGAGGGTGCCTCCAGCACCTCGATCTAACGGGATGCCCCCAGGATTTTGATTTTGCGATAGACCATGATCCTAGACGGGATCATCATTCATTGTGGGTGTAATACCCGAGATATACCACTCACTGCTTCTGTAATATTTTACGGACTGCAGGAAGTGAAAATGGTGGAAAAAGAGTCATGTATGACACCCCGAATACCCTCATGATCCTCTTTCCATATACCACTGTCATAAAAACCAATCCCTGACTTGATTATGCCTTCGCCTCCGAACACACAAAGCATGGGAAAGAACTTGTCTTTTTATCACCAGCTTGAAGCCGCTGAACCCGAGACTGACATCTCCAGAATTCTTTTTCCCTCTTAAGATCCTGCTTCAATGATTTCGCCTTTACATGGTCACACACGGGCTGTCTAGCTAGCTTCTCCATTTCAGCAGCTCAACCCGAGGTTCCAAGCTATGTCACATCTGCCGTTTGCTCAGAGGGCAGTCACAGGCACGTCACGATTGACAAATGCGATGTCTTGGTCTTTAAGCACTTCATGGAAGGGGAGATCGCCCACCAAAGAGAGGCCTTGAGGACTGGTGGAGATGGGGGCTTTCCCCCCTTTTTTTTTCTCTCCTATTCGGACTCCTCCTCTTATTCAGATTCCTCCTCTATCTTTTTTTTTTCTCCCCCCTGCTTTCCAGCTTGTATATTGTTGATATATAGACACATGCTAATAGAGTTTCAATTCAATTCCAATTAGTTATCCAATGCTAAAGATTAGCATCTAGATAACAATCATCACAATCACCAAGCTTTCAGCCCTTTTTTTTTTATCAGATAATCAAAAGAAAAAAAATAAATCATAAAAATAAAAATAAAATTGATAAATATGAAATAAAAAAATCTAAAACAAAAATGAATAAAAATCCCTGCAACTGAGCTAGGATTAGTCTTAATTGACAAAGGATCTCAGACAAAATGGGGTATCTACAAAGGTAGGTAAACCTATTCTTATTTTTTTTTTGTATGAGATTCCACAATCTCTTTGTCTATCCCCATAAGATGAGTCAAATCTTTATGAAATTTTGATTTGTGTTTTTTGACATATATCTTGTCATAAGCCTTGAGGTGCAAACCTAACAAAATCAAATTTTTTTTAATGATTGGTGTCATATCAACTTTATTGAAGATGAAACACTTGTATGCAGGATCTCAAAATTACACTGCAGCTTTGACTAGTTGATTGTTGACATTTACTGTAAGAAGATGTGCTATATGCCTATATCTCTGGAAAAACTACTCTTATCTTGACAAACTCATCTTTTTCCATATATCAACCAAATCCTCTAGATTATTTTATTTGAGGAGGATAGATATTTCTTGAGACAAGATAAAATCATGACTGATTAGTAAACAATCCCCTATCTTTAGTTGAATTTTTTTTTACTGGATCTTTACTTCGTTGGGTGACTCACAAGAAGCTAGTACAGATGAAAAGTAAACTAATCGTTTTGTGGAGTCCATGACAAAATTTTTGTTGAAGATCATTTTTTAAGCAAATATTTTTTATGTAACTTTATTATATGAGCATGGATCATGCAAACATGAATAAGAGAAGAGGTTAGAATACCAAATAAGAAGGAATAAATAAATAACTAAGTAAATTAAAACATCATACAGAATAAGAGAAATAAACGTTATACTTTTGGTCAATTCTAAAATGGAAGAAAGATGGCTTTATCTATAGGTTAGGCACTCTTAAGGTTCACTATATGTGGTTTGAGGTTAAAGTCTAAAGGTTCTCAAATTACTCCTTACATCATTGTCCCTCACAGACTAGTAAGGTACCTCAATCCTCACCCATTATAGGCTATAAGCGAAAAAGGTTCAATTTGAGTGGGAGTATTTCGGTAGCCATTGTAGAGGCATTAAACCTCATGAAAGCAATAGGTACTTTACTCCCTCCTAGAGGGACGGAGCTCAGGTATAGAACTCATGTTATGTACATGCATATGAATGACATAATTAACAAAGTAAATAAATATGAATGAATAAAAAAATCTATATAAAAGGTTCAATTTTATTAGATTTTTGGATAACACAAATTTATTTGCTGGCCTGACTCTCGGTTTTTCCCAATGGAGTCGCCAAACTGTCATAACGTTTAGATTCGGGAATCCACTGCTAGATATTATCTTTAGGAGTCGCCATCAATCTTTTTTATCTAAGTACGATTGGCCACCTAAAGAATCTATTCTTTTAAGGAACACCTAAGCCTAAAGGTCCTTAAAAGAATAAGTTCAGGTTTACTAATCAGAACAGGTTTCGGGAGTACGGTTACATGTGAGAAAAGTTATAGCACCCTTACAACACCCATCAAAAGATGGTACCAGCTTAATTTTGTGTTATCGAATAAGCTTTAAAAATTTATCAAGTAATTAATTATTAAAAATTATTCTCAATTGACTCTAATACTTTTAGTAAAAAATTAAAAAAATTCCCTTACCTCAAGAGTATGCAAGAAAATTATTGTTTCACTTGCAGAGACTCTATCATTGAATTATTTAACATTAAAGAAAATGAAAAAATAAAAAAAAATAAAATGAAAAAAAAAAAGAATAATGATTCAGCTTTAGATATAAATCATTTTCTCTTCAAAAACCCATTGCTTTTGTACAAGAAAAATTGATACTTTCAACTTTTCCTTAAAAAGTTTTTTTTTTAAGAAAAATTGGTACTTTCAACTTTTTTTCAAAATATTTTTCTGAAACTTTAATTTCGAGAAAAATTGATACGTTTAACTTTTATTCAAAAATATTTTTTTAAAAATTTTATTTTTAAGAAAAATTGATACTTTTACCTTTTCCTTAAAAATATTTTTTAAAAAATTATTTTCAAAGAAAATTGGTATTTTCAAGGAAAATTGGTATTTTCAACTTTTTCTCAAAAATATTTTTTTTAGAATTTTATTTTAAGAAAATCATTTAAAAAATAAAATAAAAATAAAAATAATGAATACCAAATTATTCTAATCTAATCAATAAGTAATAATAATAATAATAATAATAATAATAAAAGAAATAATAATAATAATAATAATAATAAATAAATAAATAAAACCTTTAGAACAGTTCAGCTCGGCTTAATGCAGCTCGGCTCCAGGAAGAACGATGGCTTGGATGTGTGGCTCGACAGGAAAAAGGCTCGGCTTGAACCCAAGTGAAGAAGTGGGTCGTTGGATCGGATGCGCTACGGGTCGGATCTTGACAGAATGTGCGGATCCTGTGGGTTTACTAACGCAAAAACGACATCATTTTGGAGAGGGTATATAAGGCTAAAACTCGATTTTTTTTCATATTTCCTGTCTTTTCCCTTATTTTCTCCTCCTCCTTTCTAAACAATCCTAGATTCCGGTTGAATGTTCTATTGAAATCTGAAAAAAGACGTCGAAAACTTCAAAGTTTGTCGAAAAATTTTGCCACATTCTGGAAAATTTCCAGAAATTTTTCAGAAAAAAACTCCAAAAAATTCGAAAATTTTTTTTTAAAAAATTATAAACACAATCTTGCTTCTATTTCCTCTCTCTGTTGTGTTTTTTCCGTATCCTGTAGGTTTTGTTTCAACACCTATTTATAAGAATTGATCAAAAGAGTTTCTGATCAATTTCAATTCTCTCTGAGATTTAGATTTAATATTTGAATCCAATCCCATCTCTACCAACCCCCAAATTCACGACAGAATACACTATTTTTTTTTATCTTAATCCTAACTGAAAATCCATTAAAAAAAAGATAAAGTCAAAAAAAAATAATAATAGAAAAAATATATTAATAAATAAATATATATCAATTGATAAATAATAATAATAATAATAAAAAATATTTAAAATATATATTTATAAATAAAATAAATAAATAAATAAAAACAAAAATACAAATAGATTTACTCATTTGGAACAAGTCCAATTGATTCGGACTGGATCATATTGAATGTCTATAGTCGTACCAAACTATGGGAGGAGCATGAGGGATAAGAAGCAAGAACATTATTGCTTTTCCTGCGAGATCAAACCACTGTGAGTGGACGTCGGTCGGGATGTTGCTTGACATGAACACTTCGACGCTTAAGGAGGAAGAAGCGAGCATATGAGAGAACCTGATATAGGTTTATATGATAATCCTATTTACAGAAGGGAGAAGTTCCCTTATGTTAGATCTACCGGTCCTGCTAACTTTGAAAATTTCGTGTTATAACAATAAAGACAAATATTCAAAGAAAGATGTTACAAACATTTGGCAGATTCTTTTACATTCCATCTGGTAAGAAGGCAGGGAACAGATTCTTTTAACATAATAATACCACACCATGCAGCAGACAAGTAAACAAGGCAGGGGAAGGGGAAGGGGAAGGGGAAGGGGGAGAGGAGTGCAGGCAGTTCGAAAGTTTCTAAAATCCTCACTCGGCCTCTTCCAAAGATGCTTCAATTCGAAGACGAATAAATCCCACAGCAACTCCAATGAGAACAGGGCCATTAATGATTGCTGCAATCCTAAATATCTCACCAACTGCATTGCAGGTTGAAGAGAGGGCACCACCTCCCTTACCTTTCCCCTTTGATGGAGCTTTCAGTGAGCTCACAACCTTTGAAAAAGATTGCTCGGTGCATACCGGTTGCCCTAGTGAGACCACATTGTTATGAGCTTTTAGCCCACTAAAAGAATTCAATCGTGTAGTATAATTTACATTAACGCTAGTTCTCCTCCTGGGATTGCCAACAGGGGCAGCAGCCAATGTGGTTAGAGAGAGTGTAGCTGAGGCTGTTGCCATTGGTATAAGAAATGGAAGGTTTAGAAATTATGAACCAAAAGTTGAAGAGAATAAGAATGGGCTTAAGTTGTATAAGAGACAGATGACGGACAAGGTGCAGTAGGTATGGATGGTTGGCAAGCAGACTAGATGAGCTTATGATCTCCGGGAGAAAAGATTGCACAGCTTTAAATGCAGCCCAGGAAAAGTTTGAGATGCAGGGGATGCCAACGAAGACTGGCCACTAATTTAAAGGCTAAAACACTAAAAAAAGTCGCTAAACTTTTGCCAAACCACAATCCTCAAAACAATTGCTCTTGTAAGTTTCTTCATTTTAGCACCTATATCTACTACATCAATTTTATTCCATAATTCAGAATTTATCCAAATTCAGAGTTAGGTCAACGCATAATACTTGGGATAGATGTAATTTTTAACTTACCCATTCCAATCCCAGATTTGAGTACGTTTACTGGGGTAGGTACATAAACTATGGGTTTGATGAATGGATAGGATTCTAACCCAACCAAAGGGTTTTCAAATAAATACAAAAGCCTGCAAGGTCAAAAGTCAAAGTGAAATCTACCAATAGCCTGCAAGTAAAAAGATTACGAAGCATATATATCAGTCTTCTGGCAAGTAAGGCCTCAGCTATAGACCAAACTCTGAAGTGAGGGGCCCTGCTGATCCAAAGCCGTGATAATTAAACAGTTAAACTCAAAAGATCTTCATGTCAGATTATGTCATACTTTGGTTGTCTTCTGCATTTTAGGGCTTCCGGGCTTAAGGCATGTTTTACCTGCGATGGACAATGTGAACTTGTATGAACTTCTTTCTTGTCCCTTTTCAAGCAGAAATTCACATATACAAGCGTCACGCTGAAGATCCACTTTGTTTCGATTGCAGAAACTTCTCCATCCCGTTATGCATGTTCGACCATCTTTCCATTTAACAACCTTCCCAGTACTTTCCCGCTTGTATGGGTCAACAAATGTAATTTCCTCCTTGTCCTCTAGAGTCAGATCATAATCTCTCATTACATCAAATGGAACATACTGAGACACACACAAAGAATATAGCCAGAAGTTAGTAGCATTCTTGGCATTGGACACATGATATCAGAAAAATAAAATTTGAAATAATGGAGAAGAATCTAAGAACCTAGTATTAATCAATCCAAATGCAAATAACTTTAAGTAAATGTACAACAAATGCAGGAAAATGTAGCCAGGGGAGAGTGGAAGGTCCATAACTGTACATTCTACAAGGACTTGTTCAACTTAAAATGCGGTCAAAGCCTTTTGAGGTCAAGTTAATTTCAAGCAGTTCCTCTATTTGGAATCGAAAACATGAAAAAGAATGTAACAGACATATAGTCATTTAAATGTGTCTCAAGGAAATTTTCTTTCTGACTTTCGTATGAGAATAAACGATTAAAAAGAAGATAAAACAGTAAACATTGTTTATCTATCTATAACAACAGTAAAAAATCCACCACTTATCAGCCGGAAGCTTTACATATATTCAGAACAGCTACAATTACTTTTCGGCACTTCTGGTTTTATTGATTCTTCAAGCAGTGTACTATCATAAGACAACAACAAACTTATATATCATAACTCTGGGGCCAGCTAAGCTGTGTACTATCATATTCATAAAAAATCCTCCAACCAATTTTTTATTCTCAGTTTAGTAACCCAAAAAAAAGGTTGTTCTCACCTTGTCATTGATGGAAGTGGTTATGTCTAACATGGTGACAAACCGAAGTTTGATTCGAGAATAAACACCAACCCATAATAAAAACAAAAGAACAAAAATAACCACTGTAGTCTAATGGAAAAAAAAAGGCTATAATCAAGTAACTAGCAACAAAATCAGAGCACAAATTCCTTGAGCAGCTGAGAGAGTAGGCGCAAATTCAGCTTTTTGTTATATGATAAGAAGAACAAGAATAAAAGAACATACCAATTCGTTCTTCCTCCTTAGCCTTATCCTCGCCACAAAATAAGGATTCAGATGTTGGACATATTTTTCTGGATAAAGCTCCATAGAGGTAGTTCCTTCGTCTTTCATAGCAGCAAATTCCTCATGCGACCCTAGTAAACAAAAGGGTAATCTTTTAGCACATAACAAACATGCATCATTATATGAGTGAATGAATGGTTTGCACAATTTCACATGCATGCACAGATGCACTCGCATACAAAAAATAAGTCACCTTCGTTTCTTTTATTGTTCATTTTCTGGCCTCTTCTTTTGTTTAAACTATCCAATACTTCTTCATTTTCCTCCTCTTCCACCAACTCCAGCTCACTATCTTCTCCTTCCTGATAGTCCTCATCATCATTATCTTCTTCTTCCAACTCCAGCCTACCATCTTTCCCTTCTTGCTGAAAGTCATCATAATCATTTTCTTCTTCTGCTTCTTCCTCCAACTCCATCTCACTATCTTCTCCTTCTTCCTGAAATTCTTCATCGTCGTCATCATCATCGTGATCATCATCAGCTAGAACAATTCCCATTTCCTGCTCATCCAACACTAGATGTGAAACACTCTTCTCACATCGATCTAATCCGAATACTTTCACATCAAACACAAAACATCCAAAATAATTGAAAACCAAAATATCTTTATCCTTTATGGAGTTTTCATCAATGAATTTTCTCCAACCCTTCTTAAAAAACATCTTGCCATCGCATTCATCCACCTCCACCTCCACATGCCAGCATTGCCCTTTACAATTTCTAAAGTTGACTGTCACAGGCATCAGTTCGTATGAACACACAACAGCAGAAGATGGAATGAGCTACAGTTACAAAATGAAGCTAGATATCAGGCATAATCAATTAAACTAAAAACTGCATAACATTTCCTGCTCTTCTTTTTCACTTATCACCACTATGTGCCATAAGACATACCCACAAAAATTAAGTTCGGGAAAAGCAACGACTATCACCTTCTGACATGGCTTACAAAATAGAATCCAATAGACAATTGTAACACATATCCACTATATTTCATCACATTGCTAAGCCTCTACGTTTATTACACATTCAACATTACCTGTACATTATCAGTTAGTCACCACTACTACTATGTAACATAGGAGTAACATATCATAGCAATTCCAAACCCATCAAAGCAAATACCTATAAACGAAAAGGACTGAAAAAAAAAAAAAGCCCTTGACCACAATCCTACCAGCTAAAATTGCAGTCAGTTTTAGCAAAAGCTTAAATACAACAAATTGATAATACGTATATATTTGTCAAATGCATAATGAAACAACCAAAACCCAGAAAATATTCAAAGAAAGCAAGAAACTAAACAAGGTAAAGCTGGAAAAAAAAAAAACAGACGACAATATTTTAAAGTAAATACTTTACAGTGGGCAAAAACTAAAACTTTGAGGGAGTTACCATTCTTTGGAAGCTGTGTTCCAAGAGGTAAACCTTGAAGAAGTTCTTAGCTTGAAAATTGGACATTATTTCTCCACAGGAAGAGATGATGCCAGGAGATTTCTGGTCCAAGGAAGACTGCAGTCTTACTGGAGGACTTGCAGTTGAATTAAAACATATCATTATTGCTATGTCAGAGAAGACAGGAACTGGTAAAGGGATGCACGTGATTCTTCGGTCTAAGTTTTGGGTTTTACTTTGTTCAGTGTCTTTTGGTATATAAGTGAGCTTCCAAAACTATGGGTCAGTATAGGCCCAACCAGTATGAAGCAATTGGACTTAACTGTTTCCTAAAAGACTAGTCTATGGGCCTAAGGAAGATCCCAACCTCTAAAAACCACCCCTTTGTCCCTAAACGAACATGACAGTGACCGACGGGCCTTTGAACTTCATCGAACACATGATATATGGGTGCTTCGGCCATTTTCAACTCTAGCGAGATAGCGAGAAACAATGGCAATGACATTGAGTGAGAGCGAGCAAAACACAGTGCTTTGCAGGCGGCGTGTGGCAATCGCACGACAAACCTCGTAATGGTCTGAGCACCACGCCATGGGCCACTTCGTTTATCGTAACTGTCATTGTTGGCTTGTTGCAAAATCCTTCACTTAACTAATTAATTAATTAGACTAGACAATTAGTTTTGATCTTTGGAAAATATACAATTCAATCGTGACCCACTTCCTTTAATAGAAAGATTTGGTCAGCCGGATATATTGTTGGACAACAAATACATGCATGAAACTTTTTTATAATACAATCAATGTTATTTTTAATTTTTTTGAACGATTTTAAAAACGTATGTTTAGGAAATTAAAATTTTCGGTAGCCAGTGGTGGAGTCACGTTCAAGCCAGAGGGGCATAAAGCCTTGTAATACTGAGTGACTTGAGACACTTTCGTTTCTCATAACTGTCATTGTCGGCTTGTTGCAAGAACCTTCACTTAACTAATTAATTAATTAAACAATTAGTTTTGCTCGTTGAAAAATAAACAATTCAATCGTGTCCCACTTCCTTTAATAGAAAGGTTTGGTTGCGGGAAGACAACAATCCCGATGCTAGCTTGTCTTATTTTTATTTATGCAGATCCAATAAAATTGATTTCAAAAGGACTTGTCTTATTTTGTAAATTTCTTCGAATCTGGTGTTTGCTGATCTAATAAGATCTTGATTAGATATGGGTTGAAGAGAGATCGCAAGAAGTATACGAAGATGAAGGAGAGATTGGTTGGTGTTTATCAGGAAACTACAACTGGAGTTAAGAGGCTTTATCAGATGCAAGCTAATGGAACTTTGTTGTTCCCTGCTATTAATGTCAATAACTGTCACCAAGAGCAAGGTATATTTCTTTTAGTCATTATTGCTACTTCAGTTTTCTAACTTTTTTTTACATCATTGATTTGGGTTTTTTTTTTTTCCTAATTTTTTTATGCGGATCTAATAAAAATGATTTCAAAAAGACGTGTCTTATTTTGTAAATTTCTTCGAATCTGGTGTTTGCTTGCTCTGTTTTTTAACTGTCAGTAGTATTTTGTTTTGATTTGCAAATTTGGTTGCTTGTGAACTTGTTATTAGATATTTTTTATTATAAGATTTGTTGCTTTGCAAAATTCTAACAGTCTCTTTGTTTCATTGAATTGTGGTTTTAATTGTCATTTCTGTATTGTGATCTAATTGCTGCTATGATTTGATCTTTTGAAACAGTTTGGTTACCTGTATGGGTGCCGTCACTCTCTTCCTGATGGTTTGATGACAGCCACCGATGTGATGATTGCCGGCAAGATTGCTGTTGTCTGTGGTTATGGTGATGTTGGAAAGGGCTGTTTTGCTGCCTCGAAGCAAGCTGGCGCTTGTGTCATTGTGACTGAGATTGATACCATCTGTGCCCTTCAGGCTTTTATGGAAGGACTTCAGGTTCTGACTCTTGAGGATGTTGTCTCTGTGTTAGAAGATGTGTTTAGGACTGTTAATGTGGATTCATTGAATGTTTCATGTTGTTCCTGTTTTTCTGGTGTTAATTATTTTTTGTTATTCATGCTGATGGTCATGGCTTAATCTTAGGATTATGATTTTAGTGGGTAGTTATTAATTAGGCTTTAAATTGTAATGTTTCTGATGTTAAGATATGCAGTAGTGAGTAAAGTTTTCTTTGCTTCAAAAGTAACAACATTTGGTATCAGAGCCTTCTTCTTAAGGGATCTGTGTGTGAAATTGACGCGTCATGGAAGCTGAAGCCAGTTTCTCCGCAATTGCTCCGACGGTGTTCGACGGAAACAACTACCAGATTTGAGCAGTACGTATGGAGACATACTTGGAAGCTTTAGATCTTTGGGAAGCAGTGGAAGAAGACCATGAAATTCCTGCACTTCCAAACAATCCCACCATGGCACAAATTAAAGCACAGAAAGAAAAGAAGACAAAGAAATCAAAGGCAAAGGCCTGCTTGTTTGCTGCAGTCTCATCCATCATCTTCACTCGTATCATGTCTTTGAAGTCAGCAAAAGAGATATGGGATTATCTCAAGAATGAATATGAAGGAGATGAAAGAATTAAAGGGATGCAAGTCCTTAACTTAATTAGAAAATTTGAACTTCAAAGAATGAAGGACTCCGAGACGATTAAAGATTACTCCGATAAGCTTCTGAGTATCGCAAACAAAGTAAGGCTTCTTGGATCTGAATTTACTGACTCAAGAATTGTAGAAAAAATTCTTGTTACAGTACCTGAAAGATATGAAGCAACCATCACTGCCTTGGAGAATACAAAGGATCTATCAAAGATTTTCTTAACAGAATTGCTTAATGCTTTGCAAGCACAAGAACAAAGAAGATTGATGAGGGAAGATACAACAATTGAAGGAGCTTTGGCAGTCAAGCATCAACATGTGGCCAAAAGCAAAAGAAAGAAGAAAAAAGATTTTGAAGAAAATGAGGCAAGCACTGCATCAGCCAATGCAAAAAGAAAGAATGAAAATCAGAAGAAATCCTATTCACCTTGCCAACATTGTGGAAAGAAAGGTCATCCTCCATTTAGATGCTGGAGAAGACCTGATGCTAAATGCACTAAATGTAATCAGATGGGGCATGAAGCTGTTATCTGCAAAAACAAAAATCTGCAACATGGTGAAGATGCAAAGGTTGCTGATCAAGAGGAGGATGATCACCTGTTTGTAGCTACATGTTTCTCCGACATCGAATCAAGTGAGAGTTGGCTTATAGATAGTGGTTGTACTAACCACATGACACATGACAAGGATCTATTCAGGGAACTAAGCAACACAAACTCATCGAAAGTTCGAGTTGGTAATGGCAAGTACATAACTGTGAAGGGAAAAGGAACAGTTGCAATTTCAACTTGTTCAGGTACAAAGTTCATTTCTGATGTATTATATGTTCCTGAAATTGATCAAAACTTGTTAAGTGTTGGACAACTAATTGAAAAGGGTTATAAAGTTGTGTTTGAAGATAAAAGTTGCTTGATTAAAGATGCAGTTGGCCAAGATATTTTCAAAGTAAAAATGAAAGGGAAAAGCTTTGCTTTAAATCTATTGGAGGAGGAGCAAACTGCTTTCCCAATCAAAGAAAATATCACTGAAGTATGGCATAAGAGGCTCGGGCACTATAATCATCAGGGGCTGCTGCAGATGAAATCCAAGAATATGGTAAATGATTTTCCAAAACTTGATGATTATATTCCAAACTGCAAAGCATGTCAGTTTGGAAAGCAAAGTAGGAAACCATTTCCCAAGGCAACATGAAGAGCATCAAAGAAGTTACAATTAATTCATACTGATATTGCAGGCCCACAAAGAACGCTTTCTCTGAAAGGTAGTCTTTATTATGTTGCATTCATTGATGATTTAACCCGTATGTGTTGGATCTTCTTTTTAAAGTACAAGTCAGAAGTGGCTCAAGTCTTCTGGAACTTTAAAGCCAGAGTTGAAAACGAGAGTGGCTGTAGAATTCAAACTCTCAGATCAGACAATGGCAAAGAGTACACTTCTGAAGCATTCACTCATTTTTATGAAGAGGCAGGCATCCAACATCAATTAACCGCTCCATACACTCCACAACAAAATGAAGTAAGTGAGAGACGGAATAGATTCATATTGGAGATGACACGATGTATGCTACATGAGAAGAACCTGCCAAAGCAATTTTGGGCTGAAGCAGCAAATACTGCTATTTTTTTGCAAAACAGGCTTCCCACAAGAGCAGTGAAGGATCAAACACCTTTTGAGGCATGGTATGATTATAAACCATCTCTGAATTTCCTTAAAATATTTGGATGTTTGTGCTTCACTTATGTTCCACAGACCAAGAAAGATAAATTAAATAAAAGAGCACTTCCAGGCATCTTCATTGGCTACAGCTCAGTTGTAAAAGCTTATAAAGTTTTCCAACCACAAACTAAAAAAATTATTATAAGCAGGGATGTGCACTTTATGGAAGATGAAGAGTGGAACTGGGATGATGAAAAAAAGATGGATCCAACCTTAAAAGAGCACAAGCCTCAAGTTTCCTATGCATTGGAGACTGAGAGAATTGAAATGGTGGATGACAGTCCTAATCAGAGGTACAAGACTACTTTTTGATGTTATCAGAAGATGGTGCCAATATTGTTGGTGTGTGAACCTACCAAATTATGAAGCAGGTCAAGACGGATCAAAATTGTATTGCTGCAATTGAAGGAGGACTATCATGATTTAAGGAATGAAAACATGGAGTTGGTGATTCGACCCCAAAATAGAAAAGTTAATTGGAGTCAAGTATGGGTGTACAGAAAACCAAGCTTAATGCTGATGGCTCCAATCAACAAGTATAAAGCTAATCGTGGTCAAAGGATATGCTTCAAATACTCGGTTCTGTGGACTACTCAGATTCCTTCGCACCAGGTTGCTAGACTCGACACCATCAGGCTCTTACTCGCCATTGCAGCCCAAAATGAATTGCGAAAGTGCACCAATTAGATGTCAAGTCAGCATTCTTGAATGATTTTCTGCAGGAGGAGATTTATGTAGAACAACCAGAAGGCTATGTTAAGGAAGGAGAAGAAGACAAGGTTTATCTTCTTAAAAATGCACTTTACGAATTGAAGCAAGCTCCAAGAGCTTGGTACAGCAGGATTGATGAACATTTGCAGAACTTGGGATTTGTCAAAAGCTTATCTG